AACCAAGATTGACCAGATTATTAGATACCTAGATACTAAGGCACAGGTATCAAACTCAATCGTGTCACAGGCAGGATCATGACGTATCATTATGTTTTTTGCCTTTGTGGAACCGGGGTGGGTGTGGCCTGCTTGTGATGTATCTGGCCTGCAGGCCGCCAGTTTGACAGGCCTATAATAAAGGCATCCATATTTTGTATCAGGTAAGATTTCAGCGTACAAAAGTAATAAGGATAGCCCAGGGGTGAAATCTACTTACCTTCCCAACTGGTTCAGAAGTGCATGCTCCGCGTGGACTCTCTGCGCATGCGCAAACCCTTCTGTGTATGCGCAGAGGGTAAAAAACAGGTTACTTCCTGGTTTTAACAACGACTGGGTGGGTGGGTGGAGCCTTGCGCCACCATCGCTACTGGTTCTCTGAACTACCAGTTGCCATCACTACCGGTTCGGCCAAACCAGTCCGAACCAGGAGCATTTCACCCCTGGGATAGCCTAACAAAAAAACCTATTGTATTTCTGTCCTTAATAGAAGAAGCTATAAAATAGGGGGAAATGTTCTATTTAACTGGACTCTATGTTCATGTATTTAACAGAAAATTGTTCAAGTTTCAGTTTATTTTACACTATATCTTCATATTTACATGTAAGGGTCTAGCCTGCATTTCTGTCAGTTTTTCTCCTGCAATAGGATGATTATAGGCAAACAGAAATTCTTATGAATATATATTTTGAAGCCCAGGTATGTATTTTTTATCTTTAAAACAGTCTTTTGTATACTGTAGTTTAGAACAAAGAAGAAGCAAAGGAGAGGATTACTTAAGTCTTAAGCTATTATTTCTGCTGGCCAAAATAAACATAATGTATTTGTACTATATGACTACAGGGGAAAATAATAGGCAGTCTTCCCGATAGTAAAGTGTACAAATTGGGTGTGGAGGCATAATTATTAAACATTTGAATGTGTATTTTCAGGGGTCTTTAGTAGGGGAAGTCTGAATCCAAAGACAAAGTAAATGTCATGCTTTAGGATTAATACGAAGTACAACAGGCACTACAAACCTAAACATATTTATTCAACAGTAAAACTCACTGATAGGATTTTTTTTCCAGGTAAGTATCAGTATGATTGCATCCGGTATGTACATACTTAAGGGCGCTTAATTCTGAATAGATATGTGTCAAATTGAGCAGTATGGTTTTCACCTGTTAAGCAATAAGTTGAGCATAGTTTACTCAACCAAGAAAACATCTTTCTTTCATGTAATCTTGTTTTGAGGATGCTTGAGTAAAATTGTGGTTTAACCCAGGGTAAAATTCACTTACCTTCCCTACCGGTTCGCAAATGTGTGCACACTGCTGCTTAGGAAAGAAGGTCCATTTATTGATGAACAGAACCACAGCATGCAGTTCTGGGACAGCTGACAAATGATGAGTGCAAGGATTTTTATACAATTTCTGAAATGTTGCTGGGGGTTGTGCTCTTTGTCTTTTGCTATTCTAAAGGTGGTGGGTTAATCCTATTATGTCCTGTTCTTAGAATTTGGGTGGAGAAGGTTGTAAATTTTAATGCCATCACTGGAGTTGAAGGTGTTTTGTTTGTGAATAGGCTATTACTATTGTGAATAGGCTATTACACTATTACTTGGGCTTCTTGCTTAGAATATATCGCCAAAAACATATTTAAAAATTTGTCGCCAAATTCCATATACTGTAATTGTTATGCCATAAATTCCCAGTTGACGTTATCGAATGCTTTTTGAGCATCTAAAAATAGCAGCGCTACCTGTGTGCCACTATGTATCTCATAATATTCTAAAACATCTAGTATTATTCTTATATTATTTTTCATTTGTCTTTTTGGTAAGAAACCATTCTGGTCGATGTGAATAAACTCATTTAAAAACTTTTTTAGACGACCGGCTATTATTGATATGAATATCTTATAGTCTGTATTTAGAAGAGATATAGGTCTATAGTTTTTAATTAGTGTCCTATCAGAGTTCTCCTTTGGTATCAGTGCAATGTTTGCCTCCACCCACGATGATGGTATTTTCGCCTCTTCTAACACTGTGCTATATACTTCAAGTAAGACTTGTCCTAGGCTATCTTGCATTTCTTTATATTGATAGACCATCAGGGCCTGGTGTCTTATTATTTTTTTGTTTTTGGATTGCCTCTAATAATTCTGACATGGCCCAGGATTTCTTAATTGGCATCTGCTGTAGGCTATTTAGAAAGACTGAGGGCAGTTTTCTGCCTCCAAGAACATCTTTCTCCATTTCTCCTTTGGGAAAATATAATATTATACCTCTTTTAATATTCCCAAAAATATTTTATTCTCAGGGGGAGTTTCCCACAATACATACAGTAATTATGCAATTATAATACATACATGCCAGATTCTGCATTCTGGAAGAAGTCACATAGAAAGATTTTTCAGTAGGTGTGGAAGGACTTATTTCCCAATGATCTAAAAGTGCCAATTATGAAATTTAAACTGCTAAAATACAGAAAGTTTGGAGTACCCCTGCAGCCAGATTTTATGTAAGTTAATCATTTCTGAAATCAACTAATCAGCTCAATATGTTCCCAAAGGCAACCTATCTTTATATTCCAATTTAAATATATTTTTCATATACTGTAGCCCTGATTTGGGATTTTGAATTCTCCCTATGCTATTGCAAACTGATAAAAATCAAAATATTGCTAGGGCAGTAGCTCTGTACCAGCAGTGTGAGGTATGGATCCACAATTATATCATACATATTCTAATATCATCATGCAAGTATTAAAGATTGTGTAATTTATTTCTGTAGCATCAGGAGCCATCAGGTCATTTTCTCTCTGCAGATATCCATGCTTGAAGGTTTTGTTATCATTTATATGACCAGTTCTTCCAAACAAATCAAATCATTCAAAATATACTAATATTTCTACCTAGAAAATATTTTAACAGAAACAATGATGATAATATTCTTAGATAGCAGTAGTAATAGGCAGATTTCATAATTGGCTATTTTCCTCCCTTTCCCCTGCCATGTATAACTTAGATTATGAATCCCTTGGCTAAAAGACCGTTTATCTATGTCAGTATTAAAGACTTACTATCTCAGGGGATCCGAAAGAAAAATCATGGAAGGAGAAACATTTTTCGATGAGACATCTTATTCCAAACTGTTGAGCTTTGTTTTCAGGCGATATAAGAAACAACAGGTAAACAGACTGTCAAAAATCCAAGTGGCATGTTGCATTATTCTGACATTTTTATGGTGTGGAATATAAGAAGAAAGAATTCTCCATTTTCAGGTATTTCTGTTAAAGGGAAATTAATTCCAATTAACTGGTGAAAGCCCTGGAAACAGCAGGGATGTACAAGCAAGCAAAACTTATTTTAAAAAATGATTTAAACTTCATTTTACAGCGGCCATGAAAGAGGCCACCGTAAATGTGCTTATTTCAAATCAGTGAAGGTTAACTTCCATGTGAATGGATTCAAGTGTCTTTCATACTTGAATGTTCATTTAAAAACTGACAGTCTTGATTCCCTATCATCCTTGATCTCTATTCTCTTTCCCCGCAAATTGTCGGAGTAGATAGGATATATATACTCAGTATATAGGATCATTAGGCAACCATCTCATCTCAGATTGTGAATGAGAAATATAGTACAAGCACAACAAAATCATTTTATTTCAAAACTCTCTCTTATAGTTCTTGCTTTGTTTGCCTCTGTGCATTGCATTTATCTTCTGTTTGTTGTCTGATAACTCAAGGTAGTGTTTGTCTCTTCTCTCTTAAGTGGGGTTGCCTTTAAATATATATTTGACTCCTAAATAAGTCCATGCAATCTAAGGTTGTTTTTCCTATTTTTTTCCTTAAGAACAATAATCATGAGAGCTACATCAATCTAAAGACTGACCCAAAGTCAGTGAGCTATCTGAGTGAGGTTTTGAATCTAGGTTATTTTAGTCCTATTCCAGCACCGATAGATATAGAGAGTAGTTTCAGAATAGGGTATATTGTATATTGTATATTGTTTTTTGTTTCCCCCTGCATAACTGATATGTTATACATATCTACACTATAGGAAGCACCCAGATGACAAGTTTGATTTGAGGTAGTTTTAATTTAGTAGTGAAAAAAGTCCATTTTGCCACATTTCAGCATTTATTGAAAAAAAAAAACCATTTCATTTCTACTTCATTATGTACACCTTTGTTCTCCTATGCACCACCTGGCAGAAATGGATTTCTTTGTATCATAATTTTTGCAGCTGGGAGATCACCAACCCTTGTATGCATCTTAGAAAACCTACCCATCACCATGTGCTTTCTAAAACTGGGAGCCAGACTCACAATACAAGCTACTTGAATGAGCAGTGTATTTACTGAGATTATTTTCTTTGATTTTCTTAGGTATGTTGTTAATATAGCTCAAATAATGACTCCAAAAGGTCAAAGGGTCAGGGTCTTTAGCATGCACGGGAAGTATGTTAAGACCATTTCACTAATAATCCAGGATGTTGAAGCCATGACTTAACCATGAGAACTAAGCAGCTAGGAATATAATTTGATTTCCCTTTTTGAATAATGAAAGAAAAAAAATATGAATGGCACCAATGAAACTAGAAAAAAAATTGGCTTGATAATAAATATAGTAAGCATGTAAGTACAACTGACTCCATGTTGCTTTACAGTGGTATTTTCTGCATTTGCTCTTTGCTTCCACTTCACTTCATGATGGTTAATTTGGTCCTATCTCAAGAGTTTGGGGGGGGGAAGACGCTCGCTCCATTTTGGATCTTTTAGATACATGTAAGGAAAGTCAGATCTTCTGGTTCTTTACTCTAACATAATGAATTGAAGTATCTAAAAAAAAATTTTAGTTCTTCAAATGTCACCGTTCAAAACATAAGCTATACAGGTATGTGGTTGGAATTGGCAACTGTAATTGAAGCTTTGTATCTTTTGGCCCTAACAAATTATATTACTTTCTTACAGTTCAGAAAATGAAAATGGAACAGAAGAAAAGAAGAAATCAGGAAAACCAGGCTTTGGGGTGCCACAAATATCATTTAATGAGGCTGATTGTTTTGAAGACCAGAAAAAAGTTGCACTTGCACGGTAATGAACTAGATTCATCTAGAACCAACTAGATAAACTTTTAGATTAGATAAATGGTTAAATCTCTACTAAAGAAAAATGACAACGTATTTTGTGAATGTTGGAGATCTTTGAATTCATTGAGTTAAGTTTCTACATTATCTCTGATCAGGATAAACTTTGAACCTTTTCTGTAAGATCTGGCTTTCCCTTTTATATTAGTCTCTCCCAGTTCCCAGCCCAATAGAGAGCAAGGACATCTGTGCAAATCCAACCATCACATCTCTGTGTGTGCCTGACTAATTTGCAGATGCCAAGCACTGCATTTGAAAGTATAGAAGGGCTGGAAGTAAATTAATCTGGATGCAATTACACATTTCTCCTAATTGTTTACAGGTTCTTGCTCTTCTTATTTCTAGAACATCTGGTTTTAATTCTTTGGATGGCATATATTTGGAATTGTGAATAGTCCTGTATATAAGTGCACGAATTCCTCTTCTCTTTCTTAGAGCAGCAAAACTAACATGACTGTTGGAAAATGAAATAATACCGTTTGAAACTAGAAACAAATGTTGGGATTTTGCCGGTTTTCCAAATAATAATTCTTCAGAAAAATTACATTAAGAGAGCCATTCCCAAGTTTTGGAGGCTAACTAACACATTTTGAGAACTTGACATAGGCTCGCTCACAAAATGGCTGTATGGAGCTCCAATAGCTCCCTGTCCTTTTTTATTTTCTAAGAATGCCACTGGGTACACAATGGATCTCAAGACCATTTTTGGACATCAAGATGATGCAGCATTTTTCAAACTTAAAACAATCATAAAATTTAATTCAGATGAGATATGGAGCTTGTTGAGAGCCAAGAGGGGCATCTATAGCCACCCTTATACTCATAATTTAGATTTCAGTAGATATGTGTGATTTCTTCACTTTGTTCTCTCATAAACTGATCCAAGATTCCATGCTGGTTCAATCCAATAACAAGCATTTACCCATACCACATTTTTCCTTATTGCATATATGAACATATTATGCAATTTAGGGCATGTCAAATTTTTCAACTTTCAATTTCCAAACATTAGGGGTGCTCAAAAGTTGTGACATGCCTTGGGGACTGTAAAGATATTTTGGTTACTTTAATATAATTTATATGTACTTGGTAAGTAATTATATAAATATCATAACTTTTTAACGTTTTATTTGTTTCATTCCACTAAGTATTTGTCTTGTATTTTGTTTGCTTGTATATCACAGTGTGGTTTATATTTCCTTCCTTTTTCCTATGTTTCTGTATATCCTTATAATTATCTCTTTGAGAGTGGTGTGTATTTTTTTCTTCTCTGTTTGACAGAAGTACCCAACTGTGCTTTGGGGCAGAATTGAAGTTTTTGCCATTGTAAAAACTTGAAAAGAAGGGAGTATTTCCATTAATTAGAGGTCAGGAAAGGATTTAGTCAAATGAAATGAGAAGAATGTTGCCTGTGAGAAGGGTGGACTCTTCAGTCACATTCTTGGCTGTGTCAAAATGTTCAGTCTACTCAAGATACTTCACAGTATTAGGTTTGTGCAAAGTTTCAAAGAAGTGCTTTGCTATGTTGAAGATTCATTCAAAGCATAGCCGTTCAAAGCAGTGGGATCTCCTCACTTGTGAAAGCAAAGAGATGGAGTTGCTTCACTTCTGCTGCTGCAAAGTCCCTTTGACAACCTTTTTGTGGCTCTTCCAGTAGCCAGAAAAGCTTTGTGAATGCACAGTATAGTGAAGGCTGTAAGATGATGCAGAACTCTTCAAAAAGGAAATTGTGTCATGACTCCTATTTACAAGTTGAATTGCATTGGTCCATAATGCACAGTGCTTTATTGTGACAAATTTGACCACTCAAATTTTCTTAACCTCCAGAAATGTGATATTTAGCTCCCAGAATTGTCAGTAATGGCCAAACTGGAGGGGAATGCAAGGAACTGAAGTTCAGGTAGGGAAATGCTAGTATAGGCATCATTATACTCAGTGGTGGATTCCTCCTGGTTCGGCCCAGTTCCGCTGAGCTGGTAGCGGTGACAATATGATGTCACCGAACCAGTTCTGCCCCTGCCCCCCCAACCCCCCAACCCCCCCCTCACGTTATTCTTACCTTTTATTTGGCCCCACCCCCAATCTATTGCTGCCTCCTGAGTCTGATGGGCTATATAGCTGATGGGCTATAAGGAAAAAAACTGTTTAAGCTCTTGCCTTGGGGCTTCAAAGGGCCGCCCTACAGCTGATCAGTGGTTTGGTGGTAGACTGGTGCCTCCAAAAACAAATGAGTAGACCGGTGCCTGCAAAAATACATGAGTAGACCGGTGCCTGAAAAAATAAATGAGTAGACCGGTACAGTTCTACCAGTTAAAAGCCTGGTAGACCAGTACCTCTGCTAAATCCTAAAGACTTGTCACATAACCATCAAGCCATGCCCACAAAATAAGCCACGCCCACAGAACCAATAGTAAAAAAATTTAGAACCCACCCCTGATTATACTACTATATAGATTCTTTACAATGTGCGAGATACATGACTAAGTAGATAGATCTGTTAATACTAAGCATCCAGTTTAAAGGTTTAGATAGTCCACAATTACAACCACATTTGGGAACAGAATTTCCATCATAAGTTGTTACGGTTGTAAGTTGAGTTGGACCCAATTTTATAACAATTTTTGCAGTGGCCATTAAGCAAATCTCTACAGTCATTAAGAGAATCATACGGTAGTTACATGAATCCAGCTTCCCCTTTTTTTGGTGGGTTTTTTTGTGAGAAATTGGCCCCCAAAAAATGTTACAAATTGTGATCATGTGACACTGCAACCTGTCATAAATATGAGCTGATTGCCAAGCCCCCATTTGACTGAGAAGGTGGTACATCAGTTGGACGTGTAAGTACAGGTCATAAGTCATTTTTTCCAAAGCCATCATAACATCCGATTACTATTAAATGAACAGTCATAAATTAAGAATAGAAGTTTTGATGAAAGGCTTAACCAACAGAGCTATTGCAGTTTTCTTCATTAGAGGTAAAAGGCAACACATTTTTCCTCAATGAAGCAGACTACATCACCTTGCAGCCTACTTCTTGTTTACCTCCTTTTCTCCAGTATTTGCAAGAGCTGAAAGAGGCTTCTGATCCTATATAGCCAGAGAAGGCTATAGAGCATTGAAGTAGCAAAGCCATGAAAGTCATTCTCTTCACAATCAGAAGCAAGAAATTCACATTGTTTCATAAGTATCTTTAAGGGCATGCTTTACTGAGAAATTCATTCAACTTGGCTAAACTTGTTAATGTGAAAAACCTATCTTTATAAAATGAGAATAATGTAACAGCACTATAATGGGGTTTCCTTTAGGTCGAAGACAATTGTGGATAATAACTTCTTGATGTTAGATGGCAAGAATGACTCAAAGGCTGAAAAGAAGAAGCATACCTCAAACCAGGTACTGAGAAATACTCATCTGTTTAATATCTGAAATGTTGAAGATCCTGGTTGTGGCAGAACAACAAAAGTACTGCACAGAACATCAGGCTGGGATAGCACGTCAGTGTTGAAATACCACTTTTTCCCATCTACCCCGTAATTCTGATTTATAAACAAGGGACCACATTTGGAATCTGTAAGAGCTGATCCTTAGATGCACTTTATCCTCTGAATTGGTTCTCATATTAAACTAAAGTTCAACAATTAAATCAGTAGTTTTATGCAGGGGTGCTAAGTCTAACCTGCTTGCTCTGGTTCACATGGACCAGCTTTTAAATGCAAATCTACCCACCCTTCCTTCCTCTTCTCTCATTCTCCCTTTGTGTCCCACATTCTCCAACTTGTCTTGATTCCAGGCAATAGTACACAGTGTGATGCTAAATCAAGACAGCTGTCCCCATGGTGAAAGAAAGACAGCAGCAGCTGCTGCTGCTCACTTGGCTTTTGATGGGTGGTATTGAGCAGAGAGGCTGGATGTGGGAAAAGGTTGTGCTATATAAGGGAAGAGAAGAACAACTGGGCTCTTCATCCTGTTCCTATGCATTCCACAAGAGCTATTTCAAGGATTTGCACTGGTTTAATAGAGACCAACATGGATCTTGTTCAGATTTTCCATGCCACCCGATAATGGCAATTATAATATATCCCTATATATTTGGCTCTATGCGTTGATGCTATTGGAAGAATGGTGACAAAGGATGCAGGCTGTTTTCATACTCTTACTCCTTATTAAAGTTAGGATGAAACAGGGCTCTATTTCTCATTAACAGCTGCATTAGTATCAACATTTGAGCTTTGGTAGCCATTAGTGCTACATGGCTTTGCATAATTAAAGTGCTGTCTAAATTACCTGTGACATGGACATTGAGCACAATACAAACAGTGGCTTATAATGCAGTCTGGATAAGTTGGGTCAATACTGCTGAATTGTTTAAGAGACAACCATAGGCAGGTTGTACGTGCTTACAACCAAGAACAGGCCAAGAGATCTGCTGCTGTCCCATCGTTAAAGTAAAATATGTTTTTGAATTAGCATATTGTGTGAAGCCAACCAGCCATTACAGCTCATACTCCATCATTTTTTGTTTGTTTAAATATGTGATCCTAAGCAAGGGTGGTTTGTTAGGTTAAACTATGGCTTGCAAAAGTCAGAGGGTGGTGATAGGAATTCAAGAAAGGAAGACGGTTGGGCACAAATGTATTCAGCATTTACCTTTCCCCAAGTATTAACTGCAATGTAAAGAGCTGCTTATGTCATGAAACTATGGGGCCTGAGGTTTGGAGCAACCTATACGTAGCTCTTGAAGGAATGAATGCAAACATATATCAAATAATCCTACACTACTCTTAAAATGTCAGTATGCATACAGTAAAAGCTCTGTTCATGATTTATCAAAACAAAACAAAATTATGCCTAATTTTGATATATCTGGATTTATCTTCATTGAATAAGCTTCAATTGACTAGGTTTACTCAATATGGCAAGCGATTTATCATGGCTGATAAAATGCAATGACTGGTTTACCAATATGCTAACCAAAATTGAAATAAATTCATCTGATGTTGACTGTATCCACATATAACTACCATATTTTTCGGAGTATAAAATGCTCCGGACTATAAGACACCTACGTTTTTGGGGGAGGAAAACAAGAAAAAAAAAATCTGCCTCTGCCTCACAGCAATTTGCCTCCTTGCAGCAAACAGTCTACTTTAGTTTCATTTTCAGCACAGTTTGATTAGCACAAGAAAAAAAAATCTGCCTCCCTGCAATTTGCCTCCTTGCAGCAAACAGCGGAGGCCCGCACGCAATATGCAATGGCAATCCCTGCAGCCTGAAACAGCTGAGGGTCAGAAGGCCGATCCAACCGACAATCAACTGCTTGTGCTAATCAGGCTGTGCTGAAGCTGAAATAGGCTGTTTGCTGCAAGGAAATAAATTGCTGAGAGGCAGAGGCCAAAGAGTGGGGGGAGGTTGGGGGGGAGTGGCTACATTTCGTGTATAAGATGCATCCAAATTTTCACCCTCTTTTGGGGGGGGTATGTCTTATACTCCAAAAAATACGGTAAGCCCGAATCATCAAATAATTATAATTTTATTGATTCTGATCCTGTTGGAATAATGAACCACTTGAGGAACTACAGCACTATGCCTTATTGTACTCTTAGCAGATAAGAAAGACTAAGAAGTCTTATGCCCTTAGGCACAGTTTGTTGTGTGTTTAAGTTTTATGTATAAACACTGTGCCAACCCTGGAAAATAATTGTGATCAAAATAATTCTACCTAGTACATACAGAGGAGAATTTCTTTTGAGTGTATAAACTCTGTTTCCAGCCTGGAACAGGAACAAACTGACCTTTACAGAATATCAAATTTTGATCCTGATTGGTGGAGGCAGAAAGTCAAAAAAGTCAAGATACTTTTTTGGTGTACAAATACACCAAGCCCTTCACTTTTTTTTTTTTTAATGTGTCTCATGTTCCTACGGATTTCTTCATTCTGTTTTTGAGAAGTATGTGTACTCAATAGAGTACAGTTTCAGTCCTTTCCATCTGCTGATGAAAAAACTATTCCCAGGATTTAATAATAAACTAGGCAATCAAGGGTGAGGACTGTTAAAATAAAATAGCAGTAACCAAAATCTGGTTTGTTTATTTGTTTTGCTTTAGTTTAAGGCAAATGCTCATTTTCACAAGCTGTTTCTGGATGTCCCAATAGATGAACCCTTGAGACAAAGTAAGCAGAATACCATTTTTATCTCTTATGTTGCATTTTTGTCAGTCATGTTTTCTACAGGTAATCCTAGTTTGGGAATTGCTTTGGATAGCAACCATTCACAAATACAACAGTAATAAACAATAATAAAAATTCATTTTCCAATCTGGAAACTGAAAACAAAAAGCCTTCAGTGTGAAACTGATTAAGGTCTGGTCAGTTTCAGGCAGGGTAGATAAAAATCAATGATTGTTTTTAAAAAATCAAAAAAATCAGATTTTTTTTATTTAAATTGGATTTTTTTTATTTAAATCGGATTTTTTTTATTTTTATCGAATTTATTTTAATAAAAAACTTTTGGGGTAAAAATCTATCATAAGATAGTTTTCTATTTAAGATACATAAATAATTTGGTTTATTCAGTATGAAATGGAGCTTAGTTATGTAGCATGAGGCTGTATATTCTGCAACACTGGGACTATCGGTGAGTCAACAGTGGGTCAAAGGAGTAGCAGAGATGACAGTTGCTCTTTAAAAATTATGATTTAAATCGAGTTGATTTAAATCAAGCCTTTTTACTAATGATTTAAATCATGATTTAAATTGTGATTTAAATCAACTCAATTTAAATCAAATCCACCCTGGTTTCAGGCAGAAGTTGCCAATCTGCAGGAGGTTTCTAATCCAATAATTAAGGTCACAGATCTGAGTTTATTAACTTACCTTAGCATTTTTAGGGACATGCTCTTCTGCAGAGAAAAGCAACTCAATAAAGAATAGCTTGTTTAAACAAATTCTGCCAGATGGCAAAAAGGGAAAACAAAGATGGATCATGCACAGGACACAGTATAAGAGAACTTTATCTAAATAAGAAGGCAGCAGCCAGTAATGTTTGCAGCATTTTGATATTAGGGTTATGGAGAGTTTTGCTTATGCCCGGTATAGTGGCTTCCTTTTGTTGACACATATACACACACAATACAGTTCTGGTTCATAGCACATTCTAATTGTGAGTTTACTTTCTCATATAAAATCCCAGTACAGGTACTCCTCATTTAGTGACTGCCTCATTTAGCAACACTGTTACAACAGTGATGAAAAAAAATTGTGACAAATCCTCACATCTATGACTTTTACAGGTCTGTAAAGCAAAAGAAAATTATAGTAAGAGCATAAACAGTCATGGTTTCACAATGACAGCTTTGCTTAACGTCCAAATTGCTGGTCCCAATTGTAGTTGCTAAATGAGACTACTGGTATTTAGTATTGAATAGCTCTTTCTACTCAATATTCATATCCAAAATGTAGATTCTGAGACAACTAGAATATTTTTCAAAACTTTTTAATCTTTGCAGAGGGTTTTCCCCTCTCAGAAATACCTTTGAATTTGCAATATTTGTTTTAAGAAAATTGTCTTAGGTATATAGTGTGTGTTAGATACATTGCCTGACCAGGTTGTACATATTCCCAGTTAGATAACATTACTCATGTGATCTTTGTAGATTTCACCTGTGCCTTACAGAAAGAAATTATGTACCAAGGGAAGCTATATGTATCAGAGAACTGGATTTGCTTCTATTCCAAAGTCTTTGGCAAGGATATCAAGGTAAAATATAATAAATATAATATATTTAAATAAATAAAACGTAAATATTGGCCATGCAGGTACAAAGATAGCCAGGGAATTGATTGAAGCCTGGGAAACTAGCCCCTTGTCAATTAATAGGAGTGCTGAATTACCACCAGTTTATCAAATACTTAGGAGCCGAGTGCTTAGCAGCACAAGAAAATGACAGCCAATCGCCAGCCATTCGCCAGCAATCAACACACCTTTCAGCCAATAAGAAGGCATCACATAAGCATGACTCACAGAACAGCCCAAAGCATGCATTCCAGTAGAGAGAAATTCTCTGAAGATGGCTTCCAGTATGAGTCCGAAAGCTTGGAAGAGTTAATCTCTGGTTTCGGTGACCAACCCATATTCGAACTCGCATCATTATCCTGGGACACATATATTTGCCTTTATTCGTAAATAAATATAGCTTAATCATGTGCTAAAGGTCCATTATGCATGCCTGATTTTTATTTAATATGCACACAAATGATAGTTGCAAATGCTAATGCTATGTGGCAGGGGTCTCCAACCCCAGGCTGAGGCCCAGTGCCAGGCCACAGCCCATTGGAAACCAGGCCTGTGGAAGTGGTGGACAAGCGTGCGCGCATGCGCACACAAAGCTGCATTAATGAAAGCAGTGTGCACACGTGTGCAAAACCATCCCCTCTCTTTCCCAGCCGCCACCTCCACTGGTCTGCTGAGCTGAAAAGGTAGGGGACCACTGCTATCTGTCATATGCACTATATAAGTAGAAAATAAGACACCTTTATAGCACGTGAGCTATTCAAAGGATTACCGTGAAATTATTTCTATTGGCTATTTGACCAATAATTTCAATGGTAAATTCCTACTTTGTAGAGGCAAAACCGTAAGAAAGCAGCAGGCTTTAAAACTTCATTCATAAATCAAATTTCACTAATCCTAGAACAGGATGCAATTTAAGATGTTCAGCCTGAACTTCCAACTATAATGTGTGTTTCTTGCTTTGTAACAAACTATAGTGAGATTCTGCCTTAGCATTATGTGAAGATGCAATTTGTATCGTTACTTGTAAGCAAATCACGGTTTCTCCAGTATGATTTTATTCTCAGAGAAGTACTCAGCTAATTGCATTTTTAAAAATCCTTTCCTTCACGGCAAGTTTTTGAACTATTTATTTGGTTCTAACATTGTCAGGAAGAAAACAAATACATGGAGTGCTTCCCAGCTGGATATAATCAAAATGAGATTTAGCTGAATATTTTGCAGTATTAGAAAACTGCTTAATTATAAAGAATTTTGCCAACCATTCCTTTTTATGACATTTTTAATCAATCCGCCTCCATTTCCTAATAATTAGCATTGTTGTAACTGTATTTTTGGGTGAAATAGAGGTCAGAACATAATGTAGTGGAGCTGTGTGTGTTAAAAACATTTTTTTTGTATATTTTTAAATGATAAATATCAAAACACACAATGCATATCAAAAGTAGTTTGCAGGCCTCTTACATTCATCACAGATGGAAACAATAATTTTAAGATAACATCCATCTCATTTACATGTTTTATTATTTTTATCATAATGTAACATAGGCATCAAATTGGCACTCAAATTAGCTTAAATCTAAAAAGATAGCTGCCAGGCTTTATCTGAAAGTATCTAGGTATCCGCACAGCAAAAATTACATTATAAAAACCACTATTCACTTCTTTGCATGGGTTCTGCTGCATAACCATCATTTTGCTGATTAAGTTGACATCTTCAACTTGTAACAATTATTATGCTTTCATTTTAGATTACTATACCAGTGTTATCTGTAACACTAATAAAGAAGACTAAAACTGCCCTGTTAGTGCCAAATGCTCTAATTATTACTACAGTCTCGGACAGGGTACGTTTACGTTTTATTTACCTCATAATTTTGTTATGCTGGTTGTTTATATTTCTGTACCCTGTTTCTGGGAGTATAATTGAGAATAAAAATTGAGGGCTATATGAACTAGAAATCATATATTCCTCTTTTACAGTTATTCTCTTATGTTCTGCGCTCTTTCCGAATATCATTTCCAAATATAGGAAGTGGCGCTGAATGTGATTACATAATAAATAAAGATAAAGCATTCTTAATATATCATGTTGAAGCTGATCTTGCTCAGGCAGAAATGTGCTAACTTGATGAAAGTCTTGGCACAAAGTAACAATCCAGAGAGCCTCTCATAAATTTCAATTATGAAAGGCAGATGATTAAAAGTCAGCTGAGTACATGGGATTGCACGTGGTATATAGATGCCTCAGATCCTTAATTAATGTGATATTCTTTAGGAGAATAATAGGAAAGGCAAGCTCTACCAGTCTTCCCTGGTTTTAAATGATATTTGTTGGTGGTTTTCTTTACAGTACATGTTCGTCTCTTTTCTGTCCAGAGACACTGTTTACAAACTGCTAAAATTGGTTTGCAGTCATCTAGAGGTAAGTAAAACTTTCTTCAGATTTGTAAGTCATACATGTGAGGACAAGTCAGTGGGGTGGGGTGGGGTAGGGTGGGGTGGAGTGGAATGGAACAGAACAGAACAGAACAGAACAGAACAGAACAGAACAGAACATTCTTTATTGGCCAAGTGTGATTGGACACACAAGGAATTTGCGTAAACTCTCAGTATACATGCAAGCAACAAAGTTACATAGTCATAAAATACCAATAGGAATGGGTAATAGGAAAGATGATTACTTTTTCAGTACCATGCCATAACCCTGAATAGTTGCTAAGCAGGGCAGTGGTTAAGCAAGTTCTACCTGTATACCTGTGACTATTCCTAGTATTACTTAGTTAATCCTACTCCAACTGTGTAATTTTTAAAATTGCACATTTCAGGATGCGAGTGTTGGCAACAGTCCTAATCCTTCTCCCCTAGAAAGTAGTTTCAGAGCTGATCGTCCTACAACATTACCTCTGGTAAGTTTATTTTTGAAGAGAAAAACATTTATAGTGGAGAACTACATTAGAAATAGCTTTTTTATGAAATAAAAAAAATATTTTATTAATTTTATTTATGTACTAGAATTTTTATGGTTTATGATGACTCTGAGTGGTTTATGATCAGCAATAGCAATTTAATTGCTATCAAAATATGTCAACAGATATCTAGTTGATGTCTTATTTGTAGGTTAATTTTCATTGTCCCCAAACATTTCCTGAATATCCATATCTTCAAAACTCTTTGAAGGGACCCATAATAAAATTTCTCTCCCGCCTATTATTGCATGGGCACATTCAACCTGAGAAAGTGGTGGTTTCAAAGATAGCCAAGTGTTGAGCCTTGGCATATTACAATATTCAGCCATGAGGTGATGAAAGCATGAATTATTTTTCTTTTTTATTGATTAGACTTCTATGCCGCCCATCTCACCAAGGTGACTCTACTTATAATGTACAATACTTCCTCATACAGAAAAGGGAACAATTCATGTATGTGACATAATTCTGCAAAGATCCTTCTAACACATACTAGAACTAAAGTCTACTTTACCAGAGGCATGAATTTTACCCCATATCATCTGTATGCATACATACATTCACACATATAAATTTATAGTTAGGCCCCCAAATTAAAAAATGACACCTGATAATTCTTCCACGCTGAGTTCTTTATTGTTTGCATACCTACAGACAGAATCTTGTCAGACTAAGCACTCTCCTATCAGCATCTACCAGACATTCAGAGAACTGTTTGAGAGAGACTACTTTCACCTGCTTTCTCTCAAACCAAATATCTGGACTGAGTTGTCTCTTATTCCTCTGGAATGCACCCTCTGCCACCTGGGAATCCAGCCTATTACATTTCATCACAGAAACAATAAGATTAAGTAACATCTGCACAGCTCTTCAAGGTCTAATATTCCTTCCCATCAATTTCAAAGATGTAAAAGAAATGATATTATCTGCAAACTAAATTATTTGAAATGGCATGGCTTGATGAAAATCAATTGGTGACATTTATGCACCTGGAAGCTTAGTCTGCCATCTACAGTCTTACTGTTCTACCCATTAGGCTAAGATATACTTTGGCTGCAATTGTAGAATATTTTTCAGGCTGAAAACCACCTTCAACTTTGAATGATAGGCTGGAGGACACACAACAGCAGATGGGATGGGGAGGTGGGAACTAAGCAAATGTAATTAAAATTCAAGTAATTAAATGTATTACATTTAATGTATATTAATTAAAAGAATGTCCATTTTATTTATAACATTAAACATTACAAGTTGGTATTTTTAGCGGGGTTTGGACGGATGGTGTCCTAAAGCCTAAAGTTGTTGTATCCCTATTATATATACTGTATGTAAGCCTCCCTATGTTTTATGGAATATGTGGAAGTAGGTCTATACTGAGAACATTTTTATTGTCATTGTTTTCAACTTTGTGGGTACAGAGGAAAATAACAAATTGATAATTAATTGGCATTTCTGATACATTGACCCTTTCCAGGATTTCAATCATGATTTCTCTGAACTGGATGGCATCATACAGAGACGTAGACAGGAGATGGAAGAATCCAGCAGCACCGGTTCTCAAAGCCCAGAATTGGAACACTTTCAAGGTTTGCTGTTAAACAATTGTTTCTCAGCTATCTTAAAACACAACCCTTTAGTCTAGACCAGGGGTGTCAAACTGGCGTTCTGCGGGTTGAATGCGTCACGTGCAAGCCACACCCATCCCAACTCCGTGAAAATACATCACAAATGGGAACTTGACGCCGTGAGTTTGACATCTGTGGTCTAGACATTTGGAACACTTCAACAAAGAATGGGTAGTGGAAACATTGTTTAGATCTATCAAAGTACTTTGTTGGCATTTATTGGTCTCAAAACTATTCAAATGCCCTATATTTGCTTCTAGTATACGTTTCTTCTTCTCCAACAGATTACCATGAGACTGATAAGCAGTCCCATTTCAAAAGTTCCAAGACAGACACGAAAGATATCTATAAAGATGTACAGTCTAAATGTAGGCGTGATGATCAAATCAGGAATGTTTCAGGAAACAGTAAGTAAATCTGGTTGTATTTCTTTGGGTTGACCCATAACTGTGCCCAGAATTGTATAGTTTCCTCATTGTCAGATGTTGATTGGTTCATTGCAGCCTCTTCATTGATGGATAAGTAGAAACCTTTCTGATTTGACTGAAATTGGAGATTCTGCCTATAGGCTGCAATTCAAATTTCATATCTGCTTATTTTCTTGGCAGTAGCTGTTATTTACTGCTTTATGATTTCCAGTCCTTCCTTGCTTTTCCTTGTTTCTAGGTGACATTTCTTGATTAGGTATACTTTGGCAGTCTTATTCTTCATTTTCTTTTCTTTCTTTCTCTCATCTGTTCTATCCTGCTTGCATTTGATCTTAGCATGCTGATCTTATTTTCCAACCTAATATTTATTTATTATTGGTGGGGGGTTTATGTCAGGTTGTTATTTAAATCAGTTTTGAAGTACAGTTCTCTAGATTGAAATGAAATGATAAGGTATGTGGATTTATATGGAAAAAGTAGGAGAAAGGCAAGAATGAGAGACATTGGGGAAAGGAGGCCTAATTTATAGCTGTGAGAACAACATAAAAGGACTGTGACTTCCCATGTAGTCTCCCAATTTCCTTTAATTTATAGCAGGGAGTCTGCATATGCTTGCAGATCAATTTCTTAACCACAGATTGTAGCTTTGAGTATTTTTGGAATTCCTTTCTTTGCCTTGTTATTCTGAACATATTTCCATTCAGATCAGTTTACATCTTCGAATGCAACTCCCATATGGTGAGAGAACCTAATCTGCTGATACAGTAATCATATACTTAAGCTATAAATTTTAATCAAGGCTTTTTGAGATATAAAAGTGTCCCGATTTACCATGTTCATGTTAACTAGACAAAGCTAGTTCACCTTAATTAAGCAACACTAAACTACAATTTACATTAACATACTTATTTAATATATTTCATAGGTGAGAAGAAAAAGAACAGTCAATTTGAAGCTCCTTGTTATTTTGCATTTCTAGTCTCCCAGTATTGTATGTGTTTAGTCGTAGCCTTTTCAAAGACTAGGTTAATTTTTCTTTTTATCTCATAGTTTCTTCAGGAATCCTCGGAACTTTCGACAGAATGAATTTTCAATTATTTTTGTCGGTGACTCACATACTCATTGTTTATGCAATTCTGTAAGTATGTAGAACCATTTCCTCAAATTACAAAGCTAAACATAAGGCTGAGAGCATCTTCCCTGGAATATATTTTGAAAGCTGGACGTGCAGCGGCTAAATAAATGGTTTCTGAATTTCTTTTTCATACTTGCCACACACAAATAAAGATCTGAATATGCTCCACTGTAAATATTTCCACTGGGGAAAATGGAGGGAGAAAAATGTGATCTGTCTAAATTACTCTGAGTTGTGTTATATGGATAACAAGCTTGTGTCGTTTCCAAAAGCGTTTTGCTAGACTCCTGGAGGTAACAGAAAAGAAGATTGATGGATATTTTCAAGGTTTACGGGCAAAGTAGAGCAGGTAGCAACAATGCAATCCAAGTAGCAGATAAGGGGATTGATAAAGCAGAGCAAATTTCTGAGGAAACCTGTTGAATAGGGCAAGGCTATTCACTGCTGGAGCAGACAAGAGCCCAACCCAGTAACATTTACTTTTCTTGTTGGTCTCACAAGGACCTTTCTCTTTCCCTATTCAGGCTGTCTTAAGGAGCAGTATCTCCAACCTCCTTCTGAATAACTGTTTACACGTATGAGTTAAGCTAAAATTAAAGCACATCGGCACAGGATTTGACAAAGCATGGTTAATGTTACTAATTTAGTGTAACAGGAGCTTTGATATTGTAATAGGTTTTCTATACTACAAATGAGTTTATCTTACCTGGGCAGTCACCTGTTTATGTTCTTTTTTTTCTTCTACAACTCTCATGCAGTGTTTTTATCCTCATTTGTTCCACATTCTATATGCGATATAAAGTTCATCATTTGGAAGAACAACTTGTATCCATGGCTTCTACTGTGGATCCACATATGAATGAGTAAGGATACTCTTTGTTGAAATGCAGTGTCCTTTGTATTCTTTTCTATTGATTATTCTTCACCATTCTTCTCAGGTGCAGGGAGTCAGTGATCATATTATAGAAATTCTACCCACACTTTTTTTTTCCCCAAATAAAAACAAGAAAGATGACATGGTCTAGGTGAGAATCTGACTAGTCCAATATCACTTCTCACAATGGCCAAATACAAGCAGGACATGAAAACTTGAGAAATAGACTGCTTATGATTCTAGAGATAAGTCATCCGAGTAGTAAGTTTTCTGAGAAATCCTTGGGGAGAGTCTTTATCAAAAGTCTGAAAGTCCAAGCATGTAATATCTAACTGATCAACCATATCGACATTGTTGCTGTGATTCTGACTTTTTCTGGTGTTTTTCGGATTTATTCTTTAATCAGGCTTGCCCTTTTTAAACATTTGTTTGTTTGTTTGTTTGTTTGTTTGTTTGTTTACATTTAAAACTCTATAAATTTATATTTATAACCCTAACCCTAAAATAGATTTTAAAAATACGTAATATAAAAACACACAGCTGCCAAGGATAAAAACGTAATTATTAACAAATTCAAGACTTGAGCTATATCACATGGGGCCCATATCCTGCCTAGCTAGTTTCCTGCTTTTGCTATTTCTGCACATTTATTATTTTTGTTGTTAATTGCAAAACTACTAAAGTATGCTGCCCGGTCCGTTTTTATACCATACACTATATTTTTACACCATACACACTTCTTTTATGTAAGAGCTTTATATAAGAGTCTTGGTGGTGCAGCAGACTAAAGCATTATTAAGTAACACCAGCTGCCTGCAATTACTACAAGTTCAAATCTCACCAGGCTCAAGGTTGAGTCAGCCTTCCATCCTTTCGAGATAGGTAAAATGAGGACCCGGTTTGTGGGGGCAATAAGCTGACTTATTATAGGGCGAAAGCCCTACTAAGCAGGTATATACAAAAGTATGAAGGCTATTGCTTAATGCATTGTAAGCCGCCCTGAGTCTCTGGAAAAGGGTGGCATATAAATCAAACCAATAAATAAATAAATAAATAAATAAATAAATAAATAAATAAATAAATAAATAAATAAATAAATAAATAAATAAAAAGAAATTGACTTTGTGTTTATCCAGCATTTTTTAAATAAGTCTTTTTCCATATACATATTTCATTTAGTAGTTTGTGACTTACGACCAATTGCTTAGTGACCTTTCCAAGTTATAAGAGACCCCCCCAAAAGGTACTTATGACCCAGATTTGAAGTTCCAACAACCCATGATCACACACAATCACATTTTGAGTGCTTGCAATCAGCCTACATTTATGACCGTTTGCAACATCCTAATTTATGACAAATTGGTCCCAATTTATGACATTTTTTGACAGAAACCAGTGTTTACTTCCAATTTTGGGGCAAAAAACCCCATCCATTATAAACCATGAGTTCACTTTCTGATGTTCACTTCATGATTGTTATGTTTGCTTCACAATCAGTAGACAACAGTTAGAGCCATAATTAAAATTAAATGCAAATGTGGCATCAGAACTAACTAGAGCAGGGCTGTAAAACTCGCAGCCCGTGGGCCAGATGTGTCACCCGCTGGCCATGCCCATGTTCAGTTTAGCAAAGGGGGGAAAGTCACGATATGTCACATGACAACACCATGACGATACGAGTTTGACACCCTTGAACTAGAAGCTTCATGCCAACTGAAATGATACAGTTTAATATGTGAAAAAGGATGGGACCATCCTCATTTCTGGGGTAACGTCTTTCAAGGAGTAGGGTCCACCACTGAAAAGCCCTAGCCCTCATCCCACAGACATTACACAATGTGGGACCCTTGGTAAATGATGATGTCCTAGCCTGGCAGATTATATCTTGCCTATTATAATATAGCACAGCACTGTAGATAGACTTTTTTGTCTTTACATGAACTATTTTAATTCATCCATTAGTGGTTTTAATAGTTATGCCATTGTTGACTCTCAGTGGGGTTGTGCTTCCACATTCAAGACTTTGAGGAGTCTTCGGTGTCCTTTTGTGCAAACAGCAGGTCATAGCTGATGGCCATAAGGCAATTTGCACATGTACATCTAATGTGTCAGTTGCTCCCTTTTCTAAAATTGGAGGCCCTTCAGACTCATGCCTGACCACGTTGCGATTGGATTACTGTACTGTAAAAAATTAGCAGGTGGATACTTTTCTAGCATGAAGACAGACAATCTTTAGTGAATTTCTGCAAAAATATCTGCTACTGAAATTATTGCACCGGAGTTAGATTTTATATGTGTAAAGTAAAGGTAAAGATTTCCCTCGCACATATATGCTAGTCGTTCCCGACTTTAGGGGGCAGTGCTATCTCTGTTTCAAAGCCAAAGAGCCAGCGCTGTCCCAAGACGTCTCCGTGGTCATGTGGCCGGCATGACTAAATGCCAAAGGCACACAGAACACTGTTACCTTCCCACCAAAGGTGGTCCCTATTTTTCTACTTGCATTTTTTGCGTGCTTTCGAACTGCTAGGTTGGCAGAAGCTGGGAGCCTACCCCGTTACGCGACACTAGGGATTTGAACCGCTGAACTGCCGACCTTTCGATCAACAAGCTCAGCATCTTAGCCACTGTAAAGATTCTACTTGTACCCCAGCTGTACAAATGCTTATACTGTGTGATGCTTTACACAGTGTTTTAGTCAGGGGTGGTATTCACTTACCTTCGCTACCGGTTCGCAAATGTGAGTGTGCACGTGCTCGCTTCATGCACGCATGACACCTCTGCACATGCACAGGACCTTCTGCGTATGCGCAGAATGTCAAAAACAGGAGGTGATGATGTCCAGGCAGGTGGATGGAACCTCCCGCAGCTGCAGCTACCGATTCGCCTAAACCAGATAGAACCGGCTGAATACCACCACTGGTTTTAGTGCTTTAGGGTAATGCTAACAAACCCTATGCAAAAAGAAAAAGATCCACAACTCATAATAATCAAAGTAAATGTATGTTAAATTTCCATTTTTTTCAGGCTGCCATTTCCATGCAACAGCTTCAATGTGCTTATAAATGAATATTGACATTCTTATAAATGACACATTCAAGCAATTATTTTCAAGCTATACTCTCAACAGGCCCAATGTATTCCTAAAAAAGATAACCTTAAACCTTTATTGTAATCACAGACCAAAATACAATGGAACAGTTGTTTTATAGGATCCATAATTTACTACAAAACCACTATTAATAAGAACTTGAATATCCACGCTAATACTCTATTCTTTAAATTGGTGCCTAGAGTAATAAGTAGAATAGAAAAACTTGGCAGTGGACTTGGATGTTTAGGTCTTGCTTATCCAAAAAATAACAAGCATAGAATTTACAGGGTATCCAGACATAATACATTCTTACAATTATGTTTCTAAAAGTTACAATAAAATAGGGCATATGCTAGAATTTCAGCAGCATCTCAGCCAGAAGGGCAGGTTCTGTTGTCATAGAAGATGTTTGTGAGTCTGCCTTCTTCTGCTTGTAAAGAAAGAGTATTAAGTTGGTAAATGTAAACATTCTATGATATTAAGAGAGAGTTTGCTGCTCAAAGTATTTTGTTAGCTTAGAACTAGAGTCAAGATTGCCGTCAACAATTTTTGTAAGGCTGATACCAAACTCTGTTCAATTTGTAACACCTACTGTTCTTTGGTGGCACAGTCTTTCCTTACTTATAACCAGTCCTTTGAACATTTTTACATTTCCAAGGTGATATAAAAGTGTCAGTGAGTATCAAGGTAGTGAGATCCTGTGAAAAGAAAGTCAACTTCAGACATAAAACTAAGACATTAATCTATGGCCTATATCAGCTTCAGTAAAGCAACTTCTGTATGAAAGACCACACCAAAGATACAGTTGAAGATGCAACAAATTTGGACCGGATAGTCTCATAGATAGTCAATAATACCTGCATCACATAACACCTGAGTTATGGGTTTAACAATAGACATATTAATTCAATAAGGATGTAACTGACCCTTTTGGCGTTGAAAAATGGCATGATACCTGCAGTAAATTTTTGGCCATTTCAAATAGCATAAGCAATATGCTTATTTTTTATGCTAATTTGTTGAATGAAAAATCATACCTAGTTGTTTAAAGCACTTCTTCTACAAATGCTGTTTATTAACTGAGCGCATGAGCTGTATTTTATTTATTTTTTTAGAGAAAATAATCTTTATTTTACCAAATGACATGAACATACATTGCTGATATGAGTCTTGTATCATGAAGTTGCTATACTTAATGTAAAGGAATAAACTTGTCTTTTCTGCTATGTTCCAGTTATGTTATTTAGATTTTTAATTTATTCCATCTGTAATTATATGCTGTCTCATTTTCTCAATCCACATTCTCTATTTCAGACATCCAATACAAGGTGGTTTGGGATATCACCAAAAATTTAATGTTGACGGTCTGTATGCAGAGCTAACAGCTAATCTTATTAAACTGGAAAAGGTAACTGGAAAGAATTGCTAAACTACAGAAAGCAAAAACAGTGGGGAGACTTCATGAACATAAAGATGAAACTGAGATTTATTGGGGTGAAAAGACAGTTAAATGTCTCTTAACTGGATAAGAACAAAAGAGGTCAGAGGGTTGAAAACTTTCATAGCTGTGTCGAAGATATTTTGATAGGAGTAGCTTGCCTAAAAAGCCACATAATGAAGAATGCTAATAAAACTTTCTAAGATAAATTCTATAAAATTTAAGAAAATTTCCTAGAACGTTCTCCCCCCACCCATTGTCTCAATTAGGCAAAAATCTACTCCCCAAAAATAATTCTTTGAAATTTTGTCTGTTCCCATATTGAATGCCAGTGATGGTGAACTAATGTCATGTGTGTCAAAGGTGACACTCCACTCCAGCATTCCCCAACATCCAACAACTGTTTTTGAAAGCAGCCCTGTTCTCATTCAGTTTTCGGAGGCTATGGAGCCATGTAAGAATGGCATATGCCCTCCTTGTTTTTTCTCTTTTGTTTTTTGGGGGATGACATTTCAACAGAATCAAATTAGATATTTTCTGATTTTTTTGACATGCCAATCCCAAAGGTTGTGCCATCACTGCTGAACACCAATAACATTCTGATCCTAGAAACAGTAATTCTTCTTCACAGACTTGAAAATATCCACTTAAAGCATTTAGGCCTCTTCATTTAATCTACTTTTCAGGTCAGCTCATATATAGTCTTACTTGTATATCTCTTCCTATGCTATAAACTTATATGAGTACCTACTGGGCAACCTGAAAAGCCAATCATTCAATTCATAGCATTTTTTGTAATGATGAAAGCCACTTTTCTCCAATTGTTGCAATAAGTCACCTTGTTCTTTAGACCAGCGGCCCCTAACTTTTTGGGCACCAGGGACTGGTTCCATGGAGAGACGTTTTTCCGCGGATCAGAGGGGGCATGGTTTCATGTGCTGCTTGCATCCCGCGAATGGAGCTTCACTTGTTTGCATGGCCCAGTTTCTGGCATGTGGACCGGTGCCAGTTCATGGACCAGTGGTTGGGGACCCCTGCTCTAAACACATATTGTACTAAGACAAGACAGGAAGGAGTAAGGGCTGTTGGTCTAAATCACTGCTGTAGAATTAATAGGCTAGACATAATAGTTTTAAAAATGTAATCCTTGATGTTATAAATTTACCCAGATTGAGCCAGAATGAAAGAAAGTATTCCACTTTAGGTATGATGCCTATTGAACAATTCATCTCTTGTTTATGTGGCAGCTAGTTTTATCTATATAATGTGTTCTGTATTTTTTTTTCTCCAAGATACAAAGCAATTTACAGAAGCTACTTGAAGACAATAAGTGAACTGCCTGTTGCCTTTCGATTACTTCATTCACACCTCATTTTTTCTCTAGATAAGCAACTCTGAAGATAATATCAAGCTTAGCCAATCAAGTTATGTGTACTTGAGCTCAGTTCAAATTCACAACTCTTGTGCAATAGCACCTGTTTTCTCAGAGGACAATCCATTTCTTTGTCTACACTGTATATGATGAATAACTGAGAGGATCCATCTCAGACCTTATTATTATGATCCTGACTGGCTCAAGTTTGACTCAACCTTCTATCCTTGTGAGGTCGGTAAAATGAGGACCCAGACTGTTGGGGGCAATATGCTGACTCTGTAAACCGCTTAGGGAGAGCTGTACTATGAAGCCGTATATAGGTCTAAGTTCTACATTTAGGCAAGAAAAACAAAATGCACAGGTACAGTATATGTGGCTCAATAGTAGTAACTGAGACGGATCTTGGAGTCCTAATGGACAACCATTTAAATATGAGCCAGCAGTGTGCAGCAGCTGCCAGAAAAGCCAACACAGTTCTGGGCTGCATAAACAGAGGGATAGAATCAAGATCACGTGAAGTGTTAATTAATACCACTTTATAATGCCTTGGTAAGGCCACACTTGGAATACTGCATTCAGTTTTGGTCGCCACGATGTAAAAAAGATGTTGAGACTCTAGAAAGAGTGCAGAGAAGAGCAACAAAGATGATTAGGGGACTGGAAGCTAAAACATATGAAGAACGGTTGCAGGAACTGGGTATGTCTAGTTTAGTGAAAGGAAGGACTAAGGGAGACATGATAGCAGTGTTCCAATATCTCAGGGGCTGCCACAAAGAAGAGGGAGTCAAACTATTCTTCAAAGCACCTGAGGGCAGGACAAGAAGCAATGGGTGGAAACTAATCAAGGAGAGAAGCAACTTAGAACTAAGGAGAAATTTCCTGACAGTTAGAACAATTAATCAGTGGAACAACTTGCCTCCAGAAGTAGTGAATGCTCCAACACTGGAAGTTTTTAAGAAGATGTTGGATAACCATTTGTCTGATGTGGTGTAGGGTTTCCTGCCTGGGCAGGGGGTTAGACTAGAAGACCTCCAAGGTCCCTTCCAACTCTGTTATTCTATTCTATTCAATAAGTGTTATTGCTATTGCTATTATATTGCTTAAACTTACCATAAATCCATTCTGTTCTACTGTATTTTAGGCAATCAATATGAGGATATACAATTTGCTGTGCAACTATGTCTGGAAAACTTTATCGCTTGTATATGCTTATATCTGAAACATTCAAGTTTCCTTCTTTTTTCCCACTATCCAGACAAGGAAACTCTGAACATATCCAGAATGGCATTAGCTTGGACTCTATAAACTTAATTTTGCGAATAAATTAGCATTCTGATTTGATCAAGTTCTTTCTGGCATGTTCCTCCAGAGTTGCCAAATAGAATCTGTGCTGCATGCTCAGCTGCAATTAAGTATATGTTCCTGTTTTACACAGAATCATGTATGCACGCATGCATGTACACCTCTTCCCACCAAAGCCCTCATTGGTAAAGTTTTCTGTCATGTCCAGGTACAAATAAAGCACATCAGAGGACTTTTACAATCAAAGTTTAACAATCCTAATTCCATAGAGTTGGCTCAAACCAAGTTAGTAACACGTTGAGTGAGGTGAAATTAATCAGAATGTGTGTGTGCGTGTGTGTATGTGTGTTTCAGTGATTGTTGACTTCTGTCAACTGCCTGGACTGTCCCTGCAGTTTTCTTGGCAAAGTTTCTGAAGTGGTTTGGCTTTGCCCCCTTCCTAGGAGAGATTGTCCCATGGTCTTCCAGCTGGCTTTGTGCCTAAGGTGGGACTATAACTCATGGTCTCCTAGCTTTTAGCCCAATGCCTTAACCAACTATACCGAACTGCCTATCTTTAGACCTTAGTTAGACATTATTTTAGAATTACATTGGTCTTAGTGGATCACTAATGCAGTCATTTGTATAAATTGTAGCCCGAATTTCTACTGGAGTTTAAATATGTCGGCAATATTTAGCCCAATAAATGGGTCAATTTAGGTGCCTGAAATCATGCATTCTTATCCAATTATGGAATTGATATAATGTTTTTAAATAAAACAGCATAGTCATCTATAAAACTAAAGTTCAGATACTAATGTAGACTTCATTATAGGAATCTATATTATTCCAACCAAACCAATTGATAAACTTGTAAATTTGACATACTTTAAGTTAAAAGCCAAGGTTTTGGAGCTTTTTACTTTGTTTTTCCTTTTATTTTTGATATACTGTATATCTTATGGTATTTGGGTATTGTAATCTATCTTGTTTGTATTAGAATTTTCATTTCATTCATTCATATGGAAAGATGGCTAATTCATGAGTTCAGCATCTCAAAACAAGTGATGAAGTACAATATTAGTCCGTAGCATTTTAATATAAAGCCATGATTTTTCCATTAGAATATCCTTAACTTCTGCTATATACATGGTCCTCGATTTATGACCACAATTGAGCCCAAGATTTATGTTGCTAAGCAAGACATTTGTTAAGTGAGTTTGGCCCCATTTAACAACCTTTCTTGCCAGTTAAGCAAACCATTGCAACTGTTAAGTTAGTAACACCGTTGTTAAGTGAATCTGGCTTCCCCATTGACCTTGCTTAACAGAAGGTCACAAAAGGTGATTACATAGCCCCAGGACAATACAACTGTCATAAATATGAATCAGTTGCCAGGCATCCAAATTTTGATTACATAACCACGGGGATCTTGCAACAGTTATGTGAAAAACAGAAGTCACTTTTTTCAGTACTGTTCTAACTGTTGCAAGTCGACGACTATTTGTATAAGAGACGTATCTTACAGTTGATTGACTCAAATGAGTTAGATCATATTAATGCTATTTAAAATATTCTATATCTGTAAATAATGAACATTCTGTTTATATAGCAGAGATGTTAATTGTGCCATTTCTATGAAATGTAATTTATATATTTAAAATAAACTATTTCTGAATCTACAGTGAATTCATTTTTGTTTACATGTGCCTCGCTCAGAGGTCAGTTCTGTGTAGTGGGATTCAAAGAGACCGTTTCAATACAGCAGTGGGAACTATGAAACAAGCTTATAAAATGCATGCCAAGCTGTGATTTGAAAGACGACTGCTGTAAAATATTTTACAGATCGTATACATCAATAATTGCCAAAGCACGTAAATCATAAGGTAATAAATGTGGGAAATGCCACAGAAAAGAAACATATCTGGTGGACATGCCCACCCCCAAAATACGGGGAAAATATCCATAGTAACCCAAAGAATTTTGGGGATGAAATTTAAAGTGGAACCTCTATTTTTTTTTATTAGGTATAATTCCAGAATCTATCAAAAAGGCATATCATAATTTATTAAGATATTTGTTTGTGATTGTGAGGATTAACTTTGTAAAGGAAGGGGGAAGTCAGAAATTAAATACCTTTATTATTTTTAGGGGTGTTTTATTATTAGTTTAAACATTTATAAATAATAATATAGTGGAGCTTTTGACATTAAACTCAAAAATTCATACCTTTTTGATATTGTAAAAATAAAAATAACCTGCTTGGAACCCTTATTAATGTCATATTGATAATATTTGCACAACTTGAATAATTATCTGTTTATTAATAGATATCATTTTGAAATTATATCTTTGTTTTAAATAAAAGAATTGTAACAAGACTAAATAATAATAGAACTGGAGTACTCTTGATATACTTTTTAGAAGAGGGAAATATAGGTCTTCATCTATTTATATTTGTAGTAGTAGTAGTAGTAGTAGTAATAATAATAATAATAATAATAATAATAATAATAATAATAATAATATTTATTTCTATACCGCCCTTCTCCCGAAGGACTCAGGGCGGTGTACAGCCTATTAAAAACACAAAACAACATCAGTTAAAATAGTTTAAAATTATTAAATGAATTCGGCTAAATTTTAAAACCCCAGAAATTTAAAACCCAATCTAAAATTGTTATGTTGATAGCCCAGCCTGGCGGAACAACAGGGTCTTGAGTGCACAACGAAATACCCGGAGGTCAGAGATCTTACGTATTTCCGGGGCAGTTCATTCCACAGGGCTGGGGCTCCCACAGAGAAGGCCCTCACCCTGGGTGTCGCCAGCTGACATAACTTGGCCGATGGCACCCTGAGGAGGCCCTCTCTGTGGGAGCGAACTGGCCCGTGGGAGGCTATTGGTGGCAGAAGTCGGTCTCGAAGGTACCCAGGTCCTATGCCATGGAGCCCTTTAAAGGGAGTGACCAGCACCTTGAATCGCACCCGGAAGACGACTGGGAGCCAGTGCAGCTCGCACAGGAGGGGTGTCACGTGGGCGCAACGAGTTGCGTCCATAACCACCTGCGCGGCCGCATTCTGGACCAGCTGGAGCCTCCGAGTGCTCTTCAAGGGGAGCCCCATGTAGAGAGCATTACAATAGTCCAGCCAGGAGGTGACAAGGGCGTGAGTGACCGTGCGCAAGGCGTCCTGGTCCAGAAAGGGCTGCAACTGGCGAATCAGGCAAACCTGATAAAAGGCCCCCCTGGCCACGGCCGTCATATGCTCTTCTAAAGACAGCTGTGCGTCCAGGAGGACATCCAGATTGCGAGCCCTCTCTGTGGGGTGGGGGGCAAGGATTCACCCCAACAGTCAGCGATGGCACCTGCTGACTATATCGGGACGCCGGGAGCCACAGCCACTCAGTCTTGGAAGGGTTGAGTCTGAGCCTGTTCCTCCCCATCCAGACCCGCACGGCCTCCAGGCAGCGAGACATCACATCAAGGGCATCGTTGGGGTAGTCAGGGGTGGAGATGTACAGCTGAGTATCATCAGCGTACAGATGACACTTCACCCCAAAACCACGGATGATCTCACCCAGCGGCTTCACATAAATGTTGAACAGAAGGGGCGAGAGGACCGACCCTTGCGGCACTCCCCATGCGAGGTGCCTCAAGGTCAACCTCTGCCTCCCTGCCAACACAAACTGCGAGCGGTCAGAGAGGAAGGAGGAGAACCACCGCAGGACGGTGCCCCCTATTCCTAACCCTCTCAACTGCTGCAGCATGATACCATAGTCGATGGTATCAAAAGCTGCTGAGAGATCTAATAGGACTAGGACAGAGGAGCAACTCCTGTCCCGAGCCCTCCAGAGATCATCCACCAACGCAACCAATGCCGTTTCAGTGCTGTACCCCTGCCTGAAGCCCGACTGGTACGGGTCCAGATAGATAGGTTCATCCAGGTGTCGGGGAAGCTGTCGTGCCACCACGCTCTCAACAACCTTCGCCACAAAACAAAGGTTGGAGACTGGATGGTAGTTGGCTAATTTAGCCGGGTCCAGGGAAGGCTTCTTGAGGAGGGGCCTCACTACCGCCTCTTTCAAGGCGGCAGGAAAGGCACCCTCACTCAGAGAAGCACTTATAATTCCCTGGAGCCAGCCTCGTGTAATCTCCCAAGAGGCCAGTACCAACCAGGAGGGACACGGGTCCAATAAACACGTGCCGGCACTAATCTTACCCAGAACCCTGTCCACATCCTCGGGAGCCACACGATCAAACTCCTCCCAGATAATATTCTCAAGACCTGCCCTTGTCTCCACCCCTGGACACATCCAATCGGAGTCCAAGCCATCCCGAATCCGAGCGACTTTATCATGCAGGAATTGCATTGCATTTCATTGTTAAATAAAGGTTTTTTTAAATAGAAAAATAAGGAGAGAAAAGGAAAAAATGTGTAATGGGGCTAGACAGCTTTGCCCACTCCAGAGAAAATAGCTGGGGAAGGTGCAGCTTCTTTAAGCACTCTCTATGTCC